GCCTTAGGTTGCCTACCCCTGCTCTACAGTCTTAAATCCAGTGCAACTTCATTGAGCTTCCTTTGTTTGTATACTGGTTGCAGTGCAAATGAAACTTCCTTCTTATCTGTCCTTACACTGTCACCACCTCCTCTCTTATTCATTCAGTGAACCAATCTGTGATTGTATTGGATGCTAAAATGCATTCACAGGATCAATGTGTTCTTACACAGCAAAGGGACCCTGAGCCAGGACTCCCTAGGGGTTGTGTTTTTTTAAAGTCAATTTCCATCTCTTATCTAACTGACAGTGGCAGAAGACATGTGCACATGTGCTTTCTCTGTGCTACTGCTTCAGAACATTTACTTCCATGAACTCTAAGAGGAAGAATAAAGCATGCTTCCGGACCTTGAAATAGTCTGACATGCAAGTCCAAGGAAGAACAGATGCCCCTTGCCACACTCATCACATTGGCTCAATAAAGGCTCTCACTGTGACTACAGAGCTACAGAAATATAGTAAGCAATCTTTCTTGCCACTGCCATATGGCTACCAGAGACACTCTTTACATCTGCCTTCACAAATCTGGTGATCTCCAGAAGTTCTGACTAACTCATCTCAACTGCAGCTAACATGGTCAATGGTTAGGGATGGTGAAAACTGGAATTCAAAACATCAATCTGGCAGGCACCAAGTTGGAGTAAGGCTGGCTTACTCCATGTGCTTCAAACCCAGAATATACTGATAATAGCAGTACCTGTCCCCCCCACCCCGAGGCCATGGATCCAAATTCTGGAAGACTACATTTCCTCTACATCAGTCAAATACTTGTTATCAGCTAGCTCCATACCTGAAACTGGGCCTTCAGTACTAACAAATAAAAACTGCTAGAAGAAGCACGCCATCACTTAGTTCAATCAAGAGCAACATTCAGACATACGCTGAAATGCAGGTGGCAATTTGTACTACACTACTTTGCTCCTCTTTCAATACACAACACCATTATAGGGTTGCCAGACTGACAACATGCAAGGGTTCCTGTATCTTTAACAGTTATGCAGAAGAGGGAACTTCAGCAGCTGTTGTTTGTTACTTGCTTGCATGACAAACAACACTTGCTGAAATTTCCTTGTCTACACAACTGTTAGAAATACAGTTTTAAATGTGGCAACCCTACCCACCAAGCGTATTAAGATGCACATCCAAAATAACAGATTCATTGAAAGCAATATGAAAAAGACACTTCCAATTACTTTTACTATTTATCCTTTGAAGCGTACATACCTTGCACTTTAGCCCAATGATTTCCAGAGAATCTAACAAAGACTGACAAAAAGATAAGCCCTAAAAATCATAACACAAAGGAAAACAACTGGAACTGAAGAGGAAACATAAGCTTAGACCTGGGGTTTCCAACCTGGGATGCCTGCACTCCCAGGCAGGGTGCAAGATGGAATTTCAGGGGGCAAGACAAAGATACTTGTGTGAATCTGGATTCAGTTCTCTTTTATCAAGACAAAATCTAGAAATTGCCTGAATCCACAGGCAGACCTGCAGATCGCAGTCAGCACGAAAATTGTTTTGAGAAAATCATAAATGAGAAGCAGGAACAAAGACGTAATCGAATTTTATATTCACAACTGGATTGATTTTACTGTTTACATTTTTATTTTTCTGAATAAATTAGATTCCAATTGCTCAATTTAGATTTGCATTTTATGCATTAAGTTAAAAGCTTATTTTTTAAAGTTTGCTTTAAAAAAGTATTTAAAAATTGGTTCAAAAAATGTAAATTGGACTTCATCATCTTCAAATGTGATGTTACTTTTGTACGGGGGGTGAACATTAATCAAACATTTCCTAGGGGTGTCAGGCATAGGAAAGGCTGGGAACCACTAGCTTAGGCACCAATTTGTAGCTACAAAACTCTTGTAATGAGTAGCTGGAATGGAAAACAGTTCAAAGACAAGCCACAGTCAGTAAAACTTGCAGAGGAG